GCACCATTGCCTCCCTCTTCCACAAAATCATACAACCTATATAGAAGCTGTCTGCCCCCTCCCCCATCCCAGTCTATATAACCCAAACACAAATTGATAGATTTGAGTGTGGTGATATCAGGGAGGTATATTTATTATGGCTTTGTTTATACTACTTGTGATATACTGATTTACATGCCATTTATGTGATTCAACTCAATATTTAGTGCTTATTATATTTCAAGGATTAATCTGAGAGCTCAAAATATATCACTGGATGATAATTCCTAAACTCAACAGGGTAACATTGCAGGAGGCACATGGTAGATTATTTTTCATTATGAATGTAGTTATAGAAGGTTGTAAAGGGCAGTAAAAGAAGTAACAGAGCAATCACAACAAAAGGCTAATAGTAACAGAAACAAGGATGCTCCCATGCAAAATGTGAAGAGCTGAGGGTACCCACCAAATGTGTTATCCCCCACATTGAGAAGTAGAGTTTCTTTCTCCTGCCCTCAAGTCTGAGTTGGCCTTGGCTTTGTGGCATGTGGAAGTGAAGCAATACTAGTTACGAGCCTAAAGATTTAGGAGGACCCAGCAGACTGTACTGCTAGAATGTGTAAACCCTTCAGAGACCCTGATCTAATAGAGAAGGACCATGTGGAGAGGACCATGCAGAGACAACAAAAAGAGAAAGAGAGGCATCTCTGCTGAGCCAAGTTGTCAGTCATGAAAGCAAGGCATCTTGAATGATGGCTTGAGTGATGGCAGACCCAGATGACATCAAGTGAAGCAGGCCCCTAGATTATCCCTGTCCACTCACAGAAGCATAAAATTTAAATGATCCCTGATGTAAGTCATTGGATTGGGAAATGGTGGTTTATTATAGAGACATAGAAAAAATGGCACCTGGCAATAAGATTCTTAATAAAAATAAAAGATCTTGAAACAAGATTTTTGGAAGTGCCATTGCCATACACGGCACACAGATATGTGCTCAAACATATCTGCCTGCTGCTGGGAAGGTGTTCTATTAAATGAAAGTAACATTAAAACATGGACCTGGTAGAAAGGACATCACCCACCATAATTGTGAGTGGGTCACATCTTATCAGGCCTTAAGAAAAAGACTAAGGTTCCAGGAGATAAGGGAATCCTGCCAGACTTCCTTCAGATTAAAGCTATAGCATCAGCAATTCTAGAGCTTCCAACCTGTTGTCCTAGATGGCAGATATTTTAGATTGGCAGCCTCCACAATTACATGGACCAATTCCACCCCTCCTCACCATTTCCATTTCTCTGGAGACCCAATGACATCAGTACTGACACAGGGAGAGACTGTTCATGTTGACCTGATGGACACATGGGAAGTGGTTATTGGAGGCTGGCAGAAAGGTATCACCTTGCAGAAGTGATACAAGATGTTGTAACCCTGTCAACCACAAAAGTAAAGATGCATAACACCCCTCAGGAACCTAAGGCTGTCACAGAAGCCTTAGTTAGAGTAGAACGCTGACAGTCCAATCATTTTTTTTTTGTCCTTTTTAGTTGTACAAGAGAAAGTGCAGACACAGAGAAGGAAGAATTCTTGATTCTTAGTGCAGAATTGAGAGCAAATCCTTCAAATTTGCTATGCTTGAAAATAAAACTGTCATTCTGTATTTCTTGACAAGGGTATCAAAATAAGAAACAACCCCAAGATAATAATGAAACTCAGGACATTGTCAGTAAAATGTGTCTGCAGAACAGAGGTCTCAGTGACGTGGCTGTGGGACACTTTGTGTATGTGTGTGTAAATATTATCTAGAAACATAAAGAACCCCCCAAACATATATGTAAGTAACTCAACAGAAAGGGTGAAGATCTGAACAAAGTTGAAATGGACAAAGACCAGACAAGAACTAAGGCTTGCTGGCAAACAGGGAAACTTAGATGCTGTTTTTCTATTCTTCTCATAATTAAAAAGAGTTTAAGACATTCAATAATGGTCAGATTGTAAGTGGACCCTGTAGACTGATGTGGGAGTGTGAAATAATAAAGCTATTTCAGAAAGGATTTGGAAACATCTGGAATTCAAAAATCATTAAAACTGAAAATAGGTACTGTGGTAGTTTGAATGAAAATAATCCCCACAGGCTCTTAGGGACTTGCACTATTAGGAGGTGCGGCCTTGTTGGAGTAGGTATGGCCTTGTTGGAGGAAGTGTCACTGGAGGTGGGCTTTGAGGTTTCAGAAGCTCAAGCTAGGCCAACTATCTCTCTGTCTCTTCCTATTGTCTACCAATCCTGATGTAGAACTCTCGGCTCCTTCTCAAGCACTATGTCTGCCTGTGTGCCACCATACTTCCCACCATGATGATAATGGACTAAACCTCTGAACTATAAGCCAGCCCCAGTTAACATTTTTTCCTTTATAAGAGTTGCTGTGGTCATGGCATCTCTTCACAGCAATAGAAACCCTAACTAAGACAGGAACAATATCCCATTTTACCCAAGAATTCCATCCCTGGGTGTCTGTCATACAGAACACTCCAGTATAAACATGAAGGTGTTCACTGCAGAAGGAAAGTGGCACAGGAATCGGATCTCGGGCACTCCTGTGCCATTAGTAGCCACACCACTGCCTGGAATACAGTAGGGGCTCAAATGCATTTATTGAATGAATGAATGGGATTGAAAAATTACAAAATGGCCAGCAAGGTGGCTCACTAAATAAAGGTGATTGCTGCCAAGCCTGAAGACCTGAGTTTGATTTCCAGAACCTGTGTAACAGGAAACAGAATTCAAACAAGTTATTCTCCAACAGCCATCCAGGTCCTGTGGCACATGCTCCCCAAATGTAGTAAAGATAAATAATTAAAAATTGGGAGTTAAACTTTTGTCAACTGGAAATGGTTACGTCTACCATATAAAGAATGAGGTGGATTTGCATGTACCAATTTAATGACCACCACGGCCAACTGTTAGTTAACAAGATAACTCAATAAATTAAAAACAATGTTGCTGTGGGATGTTCTGTATGGCAAATGTGTTGCTGATTAGTCAATAAATAAAACACTGATTGGCCATTGGCTAGGCAGGAAGTGTAGGTGGGACAAGGAGGAGAATAAAGCTGGGAAATGGAAGGCTGAGAGAGAGACACTGCCAGCCGCCATGATGACAAACAGCATGTGAAGATGCCGGTAAGCCACGAGCCACATGGCAAGGTATAGATTTATGGAAATGGATTAATTTAAGCTGTAAGAACAGTTAGCAAGAAGCCTGCCATGGCCATACAGTTTGTAACCAATATATGTCTCTGTGTTTACTTTGTCGGGTTTGAGCGGCTGTGGGACTGGCAGGTGAGAGAGATTTGTCCTGACTGTGGGCCAGGCAGGAAAACTCAAGCTACACAATGTAACCTTCAGAACTGGAGGACTGAATTATGGGAATTACGAATTATAATTGAACTGAGTCTACATTTACACAACAGTAACATTTTGGGCATTTACCATGGCAAAATTATCCCTCTTAGTCCTCTTCATTTCTCCAGGTGCTGGGTGCTGTCATTAATGTCCCCATTTTACATGGAGAAAACACACCACCGCACAGATACATTGAGGAGCTGGTCCAAGGTCATACTGCAACAGAGCCAAGACTCAAGCTCAAATGATCTGGCTTCAGAGTCCACATTCTCAGACCATGGAGGATAAGGTGCCATGTGGTCACGTTAAACTTGTTGACTCATTATGCTTATAATTGTTTCTTTTCTGTTTCAAAGGTCTCTCCCTATACATGACCTATAAACTTCACAGCTACTCTTCCTACAAAACATGCATAGGCAGTTAGTTTAGTGGCTTGGGAGTTCAATCCATACAACCACATGTAGACAGTTTACTTTCGGACTCAGTTTGCTTATCTGTAAAGTGCAGATTCCAGTCGTAACTCCCTGTGTGTGATTGTCTTCTGTCCCGTTCTATTTTGTTCCACTCATTCATTTACTGCGATGCTGGGGATGAACCCAGGGCACTGTGTAAACTAGGCAGGAGCCCTTCAGTGAGCTGCACCTCAGCTTGTGGGGTTGCTAAAGGACTACACAATTGGTTTTTTAAAACTTTTTGTTGTTTGGTTGTTTGTTTGAGACAGGATTTCTCTGTGTAGTTTTGGCTGTCCTGGAACTCACTCTATAGACCAGCCTGGCCTCAAACTTAGAGATCCATCTGTCTCTGCCTCCCGAGTGCTGGAATTAAAGGCATGCACCACCTCTGCCTGGCACAATTGGTTATTTTTAAGTGCCTGGCACACAATAAGTACCTATCACTAATCTATTCATATAAAATGTGTGTGTGTGTGTGTGTGTGTGTGTGCGCGCGCACACGCGCGCGCATGTGTGTGTATGTGTTGTGTGATGTCTGAAAAGATGACCTCACAAAATTAACAGGTTAGGCCAATAAGGTAGACCAGTCTTCAGGGATGCTTGCTTTTAAACCCAGTGACCTGAATTTGATTCCCATAATCTACATTGTGAGGGAGAGACCTGATCTCATGACCTTCACATGTATACAGTGAAATATGCATGTGCATATGCACACATGTGGGTGCACACACACACAAAATGAAATAAATATGTCCAATTTTCAATCAATCCTGTTATAAATTTTTAGATTGATTGTGATTTGACAAACACAAATAATTAAATACTTGCTGAATGCTTATACATACACATGAGCAGATAGGTTGAACAGGTGCTTGTCAGAATTGACCCTCCACAGGGTTAATACTAAGTACACATCATGCCAATTCCACACATACAGTTCGCTAAGCGCAGTGAATTACTCAAAATGATTGAACAACCAAGATCATTTAAAAATTTGTAAACAAAATACTTATCTGGACCCTGAGACTCTTCCTACATGAACATTTTCAAATAAGACCAGGACTCAAACCACTGAGCATCTGGGAAGCTTGAGCATCTGGGAAGCTTGAGCATCTGGGAAGCTTGTGCATCCGAAGACAGAATGTGAAACTGGGCATCTGGGCATGCCTCCCCAGGCTGTTGTGCTTTCTGTTTGAGTTCAGATGCCAGTTCTACACTAAGACACCTTGAGGGGATAGAAACAAGTCCTCGTTCCCTTAGCTGCATGCAGTAGGTGGAAGTAGGTATGAGGGCTGATTTCTATGAGCTGATGAAGGCACTGTTCCCAAAGGTCTGCACAGGTTCACCAAGCGGATTCAGCTTATCTGGTGAGTACTATTTCAGTTTTTATAGTCTGTCTTGCTTTGTTTTATTAAAGATCAGGTGTGAAAAGAATCAGGATGCTGTTTGGGCTGGATTTTGTGGTGTGTGTTTTAATTAATTAATGTGTTTATTTTAAGGCTGGTTTCCCTTTGCAACTCAAGCCTGTCCTGGAATTTACAATGTAGCTGTGCAGCCCAGACTAACCTCAAACTCATAGCAATTCTCCTGTACCAGTCCCCTTAGCGCTGGAGTTACACGCATGAACTACCACTTTAGGGTGCTGTTTTATAAAGACAAAGAAAACTCCAGGCAGACATCTGTCCTTTCTGACTCCCTCAACCCCCCCACAGCATGCTCAGTAAGCCACTTAGTCAAGAGTCGCCTGTGAGCATAACTTTCTGGGCATGGACGGTGGCAGATCGAAACCACAAGTCAAATGACACTGTGAAGTCCCTGAGCCTGCCAGTCATAGTCTGTCCCTGCAGCGCAGCTGTGGCCAAGGGTGACCCCAAGGGCCCAGCTCAAGACCCGCTGTGGGAGGCGAACAGCTTTGTGGAGCTCTGCACAGATCAGCGCCCCCATTGCAAGGAAATGCAACCCCCGAGTTGGTGGTGGAGGCGGTGTTCTGGTAACTTGCTCAGGGGACTTAGGGCTCATTCCTATTGGGATTCCTATTGGGCACTGCCCCTTGGTTCCCAGCTGACCCGCAACACAAGATTCTTTGTTTGGGACAGTCTGGATACTCCCCCGCGTGAGCTCCAGCTGGGTCACAGCCTGCCTCCCCGGTGTCCAGCCGTGCACCGTGCCCAGTGTGTGCCTCAAATGCCAACTCACCTCATCTCAGGCCGGAGAATTTGAGTGTAGATGAGACACCGTCCCAGGAAGATCTCAGGAAAGTGCTTCGTGGTAGGCTTCCCTTTCCACACCAGGGGTGCGCGCGGCCACAGAAGTATGCTCGCAGTCACTACGGAGATCAGAACCACCAGACTCACTCCGAGACAGATCTGAGCTGTCCTAGAGAGGCGGCAGCAGGGTCTGTCCCCAGACACCTGGCTAAATTCATAGTTGGCCATGGGGCTCCTGGAGACCGCCGCCGGCTGGGCAAGAAGAGAGCACAGCGCTGGCTGGGTCGGAGCCCGCCCCTCCTCCTTTCTTTCACTTGCCCTTTATATGCTTCCTTTCCCAGCCTTTACCCCTGCTTCAAAGTTCCACAGCGTAACTGAACCAATAAGGCTTTAAGGATGTCAACAGACACTCCAGCTGCTTCCTTCCAGACTCCGGAGCCTCCTTCTCCAGGAGAAGCCGGCACCTTAGCCTCTTCAGGTGCACAAACAGCTTGGGCATACTCCTGGGCAGCACCTTCTGTCACTGGTACATTTGACACTTTGACTGCAAGTGCTCCCTGGAGGGTAAAGTCTGCCCAACTCTCTCTCTCTCTCTCTCTGTCTCTCTCTCTGTCTCTCTCTCTGTCTCTCTCTCTCTCTGTCTCTCTCTGTCTCTCTCTCTCTCTGTCTCTGTCTGTGTGTCTCTCTGTCTCTCTGTCTCCCCCCCCCCCACCCCCGTTCCTCCCTCTCTCCCTCCCCCTGCTCTCTCTCTGTTTACCCAATGGCTAGCAATGAATGCCCTACCTCTACTTGGGAGCTTTTGTAAAATCCTGCCCCAAGATCTTTAAAGTGGCAGTTTCAGTCTGCTCCTCCTCTCTGGAGGTCTCAGTTCAAACCCAGCCCTGGCTGTTAAAGTGCTGTCTAGTTAACTGGCTTCTCTGAGTTAGACTGACTTGAAGCAGACTCACATTCACTCCAGCAGGGTTTGCTATGATTAGATGGGTTGCTATCTCCTAGGTGTTTACATAATCCCTAAGACATGATAAGTGATTACTGAATAAATGTAAGTTATTACTGCTTCCTCTAGGAGGCTGCTGAAGAGATGGGATTTCATACTTGATGTTTGCAACATGTCTCATATGCACTAATACTTCACCCCAAGTGGGAACCCCAAAATACAGTGGCTTTTCCTGCCCCCCCTTCCCAAGAGGACATCTATTACTTAAGCAGAGTCTTGCAACATAATGGATTACACAGGATTTCCGTGGGACAGTCATTTTCCAGGCAGAGGACATATTAGCTGCAAAAAACTGAGGCCAGAAAGCCCCTTGTCCTGTTTTTAGGTGCAGAAAGGCAGCCATCATAGCTAGACTAGAGAATGGATAAGGGATAGTTTTGAAGGTAGCAGGAGAGCAGCTCTGTAAAACAGGAGGATTTTTTTTTAAGTGCATTTCATATTTTAAAATTTTTGCTGCCGTTTTGCTTATTCATTTGGTGTGCATCTGTGCGTGTGTGTGTGTGTGTGTGTGTGTGTGTGTGTGTGTGTGTGTAAGTGGAGGTCAAAGGACAACTTTGAGGAGTCCTTTCTTTCCCTATACCATGTGTGTCCAAGAGGTTGAACTTGGGTCATTAGACCTGACAGCTGCAGAGGACTGTATAGGTTGGGCCATCTCACCAGCCCACCTTTCAGTTTTAAACCATTCAAGGTCAGTGAGTCACCTGATGTGCCAAGAGAAAGGCTCAGTCTGGCTTTGGAGAACAAAGATGGAAACATAGGGACCAGGCATCATGACTTTACCTGCAGAGTAGTAACAGAATGGCAAACTTAAAAATGATCAGACCGTGGAAATGGTTCCAAAGTAGAAGCAATAGGATTTGCCATGTGTTTTGCAAGAACGGGAGGAGTCAATGATACCACCAGTCCTTTTTGGTCTGAGAAGGGATCAAAGGATGGGACCCTATCGCTGGGTATAGAAATATGAAGGCTGGAATGAAGTAGCTTCAGTTTGGGAGAAAAAGTGTAAGTGGAGAACTCTGTTCAGATGGAGTTAAGTTTGAGATCCCCAACAGGAGACACTGAGTTGGGTACAAGTCCAGAGTGATGACAAGGGACCAGTGTTGTAGACCTGGTACATGAGGCTTCTTCAGCTGAGCTTCAGCACAGGCTTGTAAAGAGGATCACAAGGTCACAGAGAGACTGTGTAACAGACAGCAGGCAGAAGTTTCAGAGTCTTGTAGGACATGCTTGAAGCAGAAGCCAGAAAAGTGCAGGAATCCCATCAAAGGGAGCTTGGAAGGGTGACTCCTGAACAAGAGAGAAGAGAAGCTCAGTAGTTCTTCTTGACAAAGCAGAACAGTGTGTGTGTGTGTGTGTGTGTGTGTGTGTGTGTGTGTGTGTGTGTGTGTTGTGTTGTGTGGTGTGTCCAGGCTCATATGTGGGGTGCCCACACAGGTCAAAATAGGGCATCGGGTCCCCCAGAGTTGAAGCTGTAAATGCTTGGATGCTGCCTGATGTAGATGCTAGGAGCCAACTCCAGTCTTCTGCAAGAGCAGCAAACCCTCAAAAGCTGACCCTTCTTCCCATCCTCAAGAGGGAGCATTCTCAGAGAATGGGAAGGGCACAACCCAGCACAGCAGGTCCAAGAGAGTGTGAATGTGGTATCAGTAAGTTAGAGTGCAGTTGCATTCAAAAGGAGAGTTGTTTTGTTTGTTTAACGTCAAAGGGAACAGAGAAATAAAGACCTAAGTGGACCTGCTGCTGGGCATGATTTGGACATGTAAAATCCTCTACAGGTTCTTGATTTCGAACTCTTGGTACTCAGGCCGGGGTGCTATTTTGGAAAGTTGTATACATTTAGGAGGAGGGACTGCGATGAAGGAATTGAGTCACTGGATATGGGTCTTTAGTACTGTGTTATCCCTGGCAACTTCCTGTCCAGTTCTGTGCCTCCTGGTTGGTTATGAAGTGAGCCACTCTCCTAAGCCGCATAATGTTCTACCCAAAAGCATGAGGCCAGGAGATCATGAATTGAACCCTGTAAAACTTAAGCCAAAATGAATTTTTCCTCTTTTCAGTTATTCTGCTGGTTAGTTTCTCACAATGAGAAAGTAAGTAACCCTGGGATACAGGAAAGAGCATCCTGTTCCAAGATTAGACTCTTGCAGCACTTTTGAAGGCTCATCAGCTGACTCACTAGTCCAGTAACACTTGACAAATGCAGGAGAGGGGGAGAGGAATCCGAGGCATGGTGGGGGTGTGGGCAGGAGCTCTGGCCCTCACAAAAAAAGAGGTGGAGAATATGGCTGAGGGGGGTGAGACTTCAGAGGATTTGATGATAATGACAGAAGGACGTTCTCTCCTAATTGTTTCTTCCACATGAAGTAAAAAGAAAGCTCTTGTGGGCACAGTAGAGTACTGGTAGAGACTAACCAGGCTGGGGAGTGGACCAGTTCTCAGGGCGTCAGTACATGCTAAAAGTTCAAAGAAAGGCCAGTTAGTGAACTAGTGTTTGTTTGTCCAACCACACCCACTGCTCAGACAAAAACCGGAAAAAGGACAGTAGCCGCTGGGTCAGTCATCTGCTAGAAATGCCATAACAAGGACCATGTACTGGATGGCTAAGCAAAAGAAATTCATCTCTTACAATTCTGGAAGCTGGAAGTTCAAGGTCAAGGTGTCCGATGGTTGGTTCCTTCTTCGACCTCTCCACTTGGCTTTTAGACTGTCCCTTCTTCTGTGTCTGTGTTAGCTGAGGAGGTCTCTCTGTAACAGCCTGTGACCTAATTTCCAGTTTGTATGAAAACACCAGGTGATGGGTTTGAGCCCTCCCTCAATGATCTCATTTTAATTACTTCTATACAGGTAATGGAGCTGTCTCCACAGAGACACTGGGGTTAGGGCTTAGAGCTAAGAATTGTGGGAGTCATTACGAAACCCTGCAGTCCCTCACACTGAGTACACACTGAGAGCAGAAAGGTTGAGCAAGGATAGGACTTTAATGGTGAGCCATGGCTTCTAAGTCCTACAGAAGCTGAAGTAAGAGCAAAAGGAAGATGAGAAACAGTGAGAATGTGAGAATGTACAAGATGTCACTGCCACGATTCTGATGGGACTGCTGGAATGTCTAAGCTTGTGTGACTTCGTAGGTCAAACTCAACATTAAGTTCCTCCTCCAACCTGC